CTGTAATCAAGAGCTAATGAAATAAAACTCTTGATGAATATACAGCTTGGATTTAATTTGTCAAAACCGAATTCCCTAATTCTGACACTGTCCAGCTTCCGAAAGCTTAATGCTCCATCTTTAAGCTTCCATAAAGGAAGCTAGAAAAACTGTGATATTTGTGCTAGCTCTCATCTCAAAGCCTGATTATTCCTGTCCAATCTTTTCTGCACAGGTCAATGCTGTGGTCTTCCTTATTACTGTCTGGAGGCTTTCAAAGAAGTTTGCTGACATTAACCCTGATTTGACTAAATTGCAAAAGCAAAGGTGAGTAGCCAAGAAAAAGTGATCATCTGTGTCTTAAAAGATCAGGAATTAATAACTGGTGAGATTATAATAATCCCATCAGATAATAAATGATTTATTTAACAAAATGATTTTCAAAAGCTTCATCTAATAAATCTTGGTGGAGAATTAGGGCATAGACTGTTACCTAGCCCTCTCTGATGTAGTAGATGCTCTCCACATTCTGTTTCAAAGCCAGTCCTCATTGCGTAAGATCAAGAACCATAGCTACAAGTGCTAACTTGTGTCCCAAATCTCTTTTCCTACAGGGCATTCATAATCACAGCCATTGCACAGCTCTGTATTCTAGGGCTCACTTGGGTCTTCGGCTTGTTTCAGTTCAGCAATCAAACCCTCATCCTGTCTTACCTCTTCACCATCTTCAACAGCATACAGGGTCTCTTCATCTTCCTCCTACACTGCGTACTCAAGAAACAGGTACCTGCATTGGTAGAAAGGCAAAGCTGTGGGGCACCATCTCAGAGACTGTAGTCTTTGGTCAATTTATTTGGGAGTAAAGCCCATGAAACATATCAGGATGTACTTCTCAGCAGACAAGTATAGGATTGCATTTTAAATTGAGCATATAGAAATGTTGGGTGTTGGGGGGAAAAAAAGACTCCAAGACAGGCAAGTGGCAGGGGAAGTGGGGTGATTACAAAGACCAGAGTTTCCTAAAGATGTTGTTTGTGCTTAGGTACGTGATGACTATTACCGTTGGTTGTGCCAGAGCAGACGTGGCAAGACCCAGAGTACTGACAAGTATTCAGAGTTCAGTTCCACCCAAGGCTCCAACACATTGAAGGTAAGAGCTGATGAAAGGTTTCATCCTCCAGGTTCTCATTTTCCCTCTTGGAGCTGCCCTGCAATCCTACAACACTGTTCTGGCTCTGAGTCTGGTCTTATCTCCTGCCATTCCTCCCATAGTCCTTTTAAAAATGACCAATACTCAGACTAAACCTGAATCAAGACTTGGAATGGCTTTACCCTCTGCCTGTCATATTGCTTTTAGAAGGCATGCAAACCAGTCACAATTAAGGCTTGCTTCCTCTAATGAGGTCCAAGTGGATCTATTTGATATGAATATTGGGAACATATGTCAATGTGAAATGAAGCAAAAAATGTTTGAAGTAGGGATTAATCTGACCAGAAACCTAGGGCAAGAAAATAAGAAGCAACACACTGAGATCCAGGAAAAGGACTGTTGAGATGACCAAGTGTCAACACAGACTTAGAAGTGACCAGTTGTACAATATAATGCAAGTAGGAAAATGGAGAGGACACAATCCCTGAGCGCTATCTCAGCAGCTTCTGTAGATCATGGGCAAGCTAGTCATTCAGGGCTCCTAAACCAAGCAGAATCCAGACCACTTAACCAAGGATTATTATAAGTCATATGCCTCACATTTAAACTGAAGTGATTGGCTGTGTAGTTTGAACCAAAATTAATTCTCTGACTGTAATGCTACAGACTTTGTATTATTTGCTTTAAATCTGTGGATTAAGGTTGCATTGTCCTATAAAGAACTATTACTAGATTGATTGACGGGAAAATATCCTTCCTTAAAAAAGGAAGGACTTACAAATCTATTGAAACTCTTGTCTGTAATCAAGAGCTAATGAAATAATAATAAAAAAATACGCATTGTCTACACACTATTCCAATGAAGGCAAACAATTATTGGATAACTCTGAAGACCATCTTTCTTTTCTCCCACAGTCCCCCAAAACTTCGAAAGAATCTGGAATGTAGCAACAGTTTGCAGAAATGAATTCCAGGAGTGCTACTTTGCATATAAATGTTTCCAGGGAAAAGATAGACTGGATAACAGAACTACTGCCTGCTGATTCAGACCTACTGCAACAAGGACAGTAAAACCGCTAGAAACATATGCAGAGGTCCATCTAGCAAGCTCAGGAACTGAGCCCATGTTAACTTTATATTGGTACAAGTCCGTCATCAAGAGTTCTCTTCTCTTTCATGCTAAGGCTCTTCTCTCTCAAAGAGAGGATCATGTCTTTAAAAAAGGTACTTCTACATATGACACTTTCATAAAAGGTCCTTTCCATGGACACTGATTAGTCGTCTGCCTGGCTATGCATCAAAGATCTGAAGTGAATTTTGCATAATAGGCATGATCTTTTCCATCCAGTATAAGCTGATTATGGACTGATCTGATAGCATTGTCCCTAATGTTCATCAAGTTATTTTCAAGTATGAACTTATGATTGCCTGCAGTACTCATTAAGTCAACTAGAAACAGGGGTGATAAGTGTACTTAAACAAGAGTGGCAAGGATGCTGTAAACTAGGATTGGACAAAGAACTTCACATTATTTTGCTCTGTTGTAATTGATTGCATTTGTCCAAAATTTCTGATATAAATTTTGAAGACTGCTAATCAATGAGATGATCTAGAAGCCATGTCTAGAGGCTATCCCCTGTTAGGTGGCTAAAAAGGGTTGTCCTGGTTTGAATAGTCCTGCACATAAAAATGAACCTATATGTGGAAACATAGTATGGCGTAGGCAAAGCACAGACCTTTTAGAGAGAGATCTGGTTTTGATGTACAAGGCCTTTTATTTACTTTTAATGGAGAACTAAGCCTTCATTTGCAGCCTTTCACACTGACCCAGGCTTAATTAGGTATAAGTAGCCCTGAACTATGAAACTGTTTAAATTACAATATGTTTGCATTGCCCAAAGATTTTATAGTTCTGTTTCTTGGTGCACTAAGAGTCTGCCATGCTCAACATTCAGATTCAACTCAGAAGGCAGATCTAAATACTCTTGCATCTCATGGGTTGCTTCATATCTAACACATTTGAGTAAATGCACCAAATTATGGGAATAATTTTCATTTGATGTTTTTCTTTACTGCTATTCCCTGGAGTTCTGCATATGGCAACAAGATGCAAGGACAGAGGAAGGTACAGGATACAGTGTAATCTCAGCTACAAGAGTCCAGGTAACTGGTAGCAAAATGCTGCTTATTCAGATGAGAAGCAACAGCTATAGACTTGACCCAATGAAAAGAAAAAGGGTTTGGCGTTTTGTACTTTTGTTCTTGGTTGGAAGACCTCCAGAGAATACCAGAGCTTTGGTTAGATTAGGAAGTTGCAAGCAGCATCCCAAAAGGCAGCGATGGAAAACCACTTCCGTACTTTTACAAGAAAACATAAAATCATCAGGAGTCAAGGGTGACTCAAAGGGAGTTTTACTTTTTTATGAAGCTAATGAACCCTTCTATGGTGGTCATTCCCAGAAAATAGAACAGAACTTCCTGTTTAGACCAGTTAGGTTTGAACTATTTTCAGTATTCCTAACTTTGTTTTTGTAAGGTGCTTGGTATTTTTATTTTATATGTATCTCATTTCCAGGTGTGCCTTATTCGCATGTAAGTAGCAAAACACACAAGAGTTCACAGCTGATTTTTTTTCTACTGAATTTTGCTCCCCAAATTACTCCCAAGTTATACCTGACATAGTCTTCAGATAGCTTTGCATGCACCTGCATGCCAACTTTTGTACTATTAGAATGTGTTAATTTGTACTTGGGGCAAAGGGAAAAATGGATGGATTCAGATTAGTACAAACATTCTCTTCTATTAAAATGTGTCAGTCTGAAAAGATACTACCAGATTCCTTCTGCTTTAATTAAAAGATGAAGGGGGAAATGTACTTGAGAAAAAAAGTGCTTTAAGGAAGCAGGCTGGTAATTAGAAACAAATATTTTTTGACAATTCACACATCTTTAAAGGCACTCTTAGAGTGAATATATCTCATGGCAGGGCAGTTAGTGAAACTGAGAGACAACAGTAGAAACATCAGGAATGTGTTTTGCTCAGGCTTGAACTGTGGAGTCCTTGGTGCTCTCTGAGCTTGGTTATTTGCTTGCAGATGTTTCATTACCCGACTAGGTAACATCATCAGTGCGAGTGAGTGTGCTGTTTGCTCCCTGAATCAGACAACTACAAACACACTGCAGCAACCCAGAACACCAGAAAGAGGAAACAGACCACCTATACAACATCTTCCAATAAAATGGATACCCACACAACTTTATCAAAAAGTGGCTAACGACTCAACCCACTGCAGCATATCCAACACAAGCTATGAGAAGGATAACACTACCATCAAAAGCATCTCTGAAACAACCAACAGACTATTACAACCACACAGCAGCATCCTAGCACCCAAACCAACTAAAGCCCTCCAAAACATCTTAAGTAAACCAAAAGACCCAGTAGCGCAGCATATCCAACACAAGCTATGAGAAGGATAACACTACCATCAAAAGCATCTCTGAAACAACCAACAGACTATTACAACCACACAGCAGCATCCTAGCACCCAAACCAACTAAAGCCCTCCAAAACATCTTAAGTAAACCAAAAGACCCAGTAGCCCAAGAAGAAAAAAAAGCAGTCGTCTACAACAATCGATGCAAGGACTGTAACAGCCACTATGTAGGACAGACTAGCAGAGTGCATCCATGAACACCAACTAGCAGTCAGCAGACACAATGAAAACTCCTTAATCTCACAGCACATGGACAGACTCAACCATAGTTTCAACTGGGAGACTGTGAGCATCCTAGACCAAACTAAATTCAGAAACGCTAGGGAATTCCTGGAAGCTTGGCATTCAGACAAATCGGCCATCAACGCATAGAAATAGACCATATTTACACACCATTCAAAAGTGAGAATAAAAAAAAGCTAAGGAAACAAAAAGACCATAACACATCCTCTCCAGCAGCCAACACCCAGTTAAGCAGGAATTAACATCAGGCAAACAAGCAGAAAACAATACCCTAATCAAGGAACTGCCAAGGAGAAAACCACACCCCCACCAACACTGGCAGGGCAAGCTACCTTATTATAAACAGGGAGCAAACCCCACACTCACTAGCACTGATGATGTTACCAAGTTGGATAATGATACGTCTGCAAGCAAACAACCAAGCTCAGAGCACCAAGGACTCCATAACACATTTTATTAAAAGGTGTAAACTTTCATGGATGCATGGAGTGGCTAAACTGATGTAGAATTTAAATTGGGATGAGACAGGTCAGAAGGGAGGGGAAGACAGGATAGATGTGTGTGGGGCAGATTACAAGCACCTTATCAATTAAGAATTGTAATATGTGTTAAGACTTTCTGAGCTAGCCTGAAATTTTTAACTATGCGAGTTCAGCAAACACTCAATTTTCCTGGTAAAGTTTCTTTTTTCCAAAATGGCTACTTTGAGATCTGTAATAGAATGTCCTGGGAGATTGAAATGCTCCAGTATTACTTTGCCTGTCTTCTGAGTCCTGATGTTATTTATCATCCCTGGGAATTGATTTGGCTCTGTTGATTTGTCTACTGAACTCAGGTGGGTTATCTCCGGAATGTCCGGTTTAATTCCATCAGTTGTGCATCTCCGCAAGTTGATCAGAACAAATATAGTTGTAGTGTAGAGCCTGATTATAGATTATATATTCAATAGTGTATTCTGGGTAGAACCTGGAGGCATGTAGCAGGCATGACAATTTGTAGGCTTCCTGAATAATATGCTGATTGTGTTCCTTGTGTCATTTACTGTAACATCAAGGAAGTAGACTTGTTTCATAGGCTGAAGTTGATAGTGGGGTGGAACTTGAAAATTTATTTGTAGGGGTCCAGTTGATAAAAATGTCATCAATGAATCTCAAGTAAAGGAGCAGGTGTACTAGGTCAGACATGAAGATGTTGGCATATTGTGGAGCCATGCACATGCCATGGCTGTGTTATTGATTTGAAGGTATGGTATCGTCAAAGGTGAAGTAGTCATACAGTAGCATACAGAGTCAGTCTGGTGGCAAGACATACTGGCTTGATGGCTTAAAGTCCAAGTTTGGGGGGATGTTGGTGTATAGTGTTTCAACATCCACGGTAGTTAAAATGTTGGGGAAATTGCCAATGGATTTCACTCATCTTCAAAAGTCTGTGGTGTCTCTTATATACTTGGTAGTGCTGGTGTACTGAGTCCATGAAACCTGACATTCTGGCTGTTAATTGATAAAGCACATGTAATCTGTCTCACGTATAATCTGCATAATCACCGTCTTCCCCTTCTGTTCCCCACCTCTTCCCAATTTAAATCCTACATTAGTTTAGCCACTCCGGGCATCTGATAAGTGAGCTGTGGCTAACAAAAGCATATGCCTTTTAATAAAATTCTTTAGTCTGAACAGGTGCTATCAGACTCCTGATTTTGGGCTACCACACAGCTGTCCTCCTACAATGACTTTTGTTATTTTGAAACTGCAAGTTATGTTGTTTTTCAAAATAAGTAATATAACAGGCAGTTCAATATTTGGGTATTCCACTTTCATAGGAAAACAGAGGGCCTGAATAGATGGTGAGTGTATATAGAGAGAGATCAGTGGTAAGATAGTGTTCCTTTATGTACCTCTTTCTCAAGACAGCTAAACTGGCAGCCTCTCGAGGACTTCTATTCCTATCTTGGTCTTATTTAAAAAAAAGTAGCCTCAAGCATACCTGAAACCAACTGTAGACCAGACAAGGTGTATGTTGGGGAGAAGTCCAACACATACAAGGTAAATTGCTTATCCTGAAAGCACTCCAAGTAGGTCAAGGCAATGAAGCTTGGAGACCACAGGAAAGTGAAAGAAGTAAGCAAAATGTATATGTTTTCTGTAACCAGTAGATTCATTATGCATCAAGAACAACCAGAAAAGGTTATTTTAAAATTTTATTTATGAAACTTAGCCCCAGGGGCTGACTATTCAGAAAATAGAAACATCTAATTAAAAAAGCCCCCAGGCTTGAGCTGAGGCAAAATACCATCTGGGCACTTTGTAAGACTTCATGTTAAGAACCAACATCCCTACATATTGCATAGCATGTCTTTTCAAGAAGATATTCATCTGGGTTCAGCAGAAGAGAAGTGAGATGTGCTCAATCTCCAGTTCCACCCTGGGCTGAGAGAAGAGGCTCGGCGAACTCGGTGAACTACCGGCTCTGTTCGACTACAAGAGAACAAATGAAAAAAAGCAGTCAGTTACTCAGTCATCCCCTGTAACCAAATTAGCTGAATGCTGGCTCTGTGGTGGTGCAGCTTTTCCTGGGATTCAGTCTCTACTGGGAGTTCAAAGCTGTCCGCTTGTACAATTCACAGGCACCATCATCAGTGCTTTGCTTCTCCATTAGTTAGGTCTACTTTTGAAGGAGCGCGTCTGGCGTGCATACAGAAACCCTCACCAGTCATATCCTCTCCCTAAACAGCCTGCCTTATTGGTAAAACAGCAGCCACCTCTGCCCCCCAAACCCCGTTTCAGGGTCATTTTTTTGCTAATTCCTATCATATGTCTAAAAGTCTGGTCTCCTAAAGATCGAAGATTTAACTGAGAAAAGTACTGATTTTACACATTTATGTCCATGCACTCTTTCATATTTCCATTATGAAACATGTAAAAGAGTTTACAAAAGGTGCAAGGCCCTTCACTTTCAAACCAGCAGCTGATACCTGTTCCACTGGTAGCTGCTATCTGCTAATTTAAGGTTTTATAACCACTATTTCCAGTGCTCAGGACACAGGCCTAGCTCCCCTCGGTAGGTCACCAGTAGCAACCCAATTATTCTTTTTCCTCTATAGCAGTGTTCCTTAAACTTTTTTCTCTCAGGACCCCTTTCTACTTTTAAAAATTATAGAGAGAGGACCCCAAAAGAGCTTTTGTTTGTATGGCTTATATTTACTGATATTTGCTGTATTAAAAATTAAAATTGATGCATTCGCTGCCGCTTCTCACGATTGTTTGATGGGTTTTTAATACTGTAGTATTTTTCAACATAGGCTGGCAAATAATTTTGATTTTGTGGACCCCTGAGAGGGTCTTGGAGTCCTAGGACCACACTTTAAGAAGCACTGCTCTATAGGATTCCCAGAAACATGAATGGGAAGCTATCCTGCATTAGCTACACTTATGATTTTCTATCTCTATTCTGAGTTGCAAAAAACCCAAAACCAGATAACAATGATGTACTTACCACGATGCATCTGGGTTACTGTAATGTACTCTACTTGGTACTGCCGTTGAAGAGCATCAAGAAACTACAACTGGCCCAAAATGCAGTGGCGTGCACATTTGTAAATTGGAGTAGCCATATTTGTGTAAAATCTATATTGCACAGGTTACCAAGAGGTTTTCTGGGTGCAGTTCAAATTTTTAACTTGCAAGCCCTATATGCCTGGGTACCTGGGTACTTACAGGCTCACCTCTGCTCTGACCCATCTACTTAATCCAGTATGCATATCCTGGCAAAACTGTCTGAAAGTCCCCCAGTCTTTTGAGGTGACCCCAAATGATATTTGTGTTACAGTCTCTTTATGGTGGAACAATCTCCCTCTTAAAGTCAGGTTAGCATCCTCCCTGCTGACTTTCCAGAAAGTGGTAAAAAGTGAACTGTACTGGAAGGCACCTGGGGGCTAAGAAAGGTCACCATTGCACTTTTTAAACTCTATTTTATACTATTTTGATTTTACATGGTTTTAGCATGTGTTTATATGTTAGGAATCAACACAGATTATGGCAGTATAAAATGCAGTGAAGAAATATTTAAATTAAAATATCAGCAAGAATCAATACATACTATATGAGGAGATGTCAATCTCTTCCGGGAGCTCAGCCACGTTGACCTCAAAGCGATCCTGCACTTCATTGAGGATTTTGGCATCACCTTCATCTGACACAAAGGTAATGGCCAAGCCTTTTGTACCAAAGCGCCCAGCCCGGGCCACCTGCAAAGAGAAGGCTGTATCAAGGACCAAAAGAAGCTCCTCCTCAAACTGAATCCAGTATTTCAGAGTTACCCATCAGAGAGAGAAATCAGTTAGATGCTCAGTGAAAACCAGGCAAACCTCATTTAAAAAAAAATTCACTGGGAAAGTCATATCCAAAAAAAAAGAGGCTCAGAATCCATGGAGAGGGTGATCAGAAACCACGCAGAACCTGCAAGTCACCAGCTCCCTACCACAAGTACAAGTGGCAAGCTATCAGAACAAGCATCTCCCAAGGAATGAAGACAACGCTGTGATTTGCTCCTGCCTAGTGCACACACTCACCCTGTGTAAGTAGGTATCAGAATCCTCAGGCATATCATAGTTGAAGACTATGTTGACTCGCTCTATGTCCATCCCACGGCCAAACAGATTAGTGGCCACCAGGATACGACGCTGGAAGTCCTTGAACTGCTGATACCTAGAGAGCCTGCCAAAAAAAAAAAAGTGACTGACTTCCTTGAACTGCAAGACATTCCTCTCCAGAGCTGGGTGCAATTCATAGGCCCAATGGGCTTTAAATTTGTTTGCACAACACTTGAGGTTTTTCCCATCAAAACTTAATTGTCCCTCATATTCTATCCTCAAAAGCACAGATACTCCACTCACTGTTCAGGTTTCATAGTTTGATGCTGCTCACCTCTCTTCCTGAGACATGCCCCTATGTATAGCAATAGCTGGGAAATTCTGCTCAACCAGAAGTTGGGCTAGTGCCATGCAGCGCTGCACGGACTTTACAAATATCACAACCTGCAGGGATGGGAAGATGAAAAGGAATTGAGCTGGAAGCCCTACAGACTCCCATTAGCCTTCAACTCCCAGGGTTTGTGACCATATTCTGCCTCCAACCCCAAGAGGTGGGATACCACATACAAGCTCTGGTTGTCAATCCTCTTTCATACAGACCTGATTGAACTCCAGTACATCCAGCAGATCAAAAAGTTTGCGATTTTTCTCTGTGTCCTTCAGCTTTACATAGTACTGCTGCAGACCGTGTAGAGTCAACTTTGTCTCGTCATCCACAAATACCTCCATCGGCTGCAAGCAGTGAACAAACAATTATAGCAAAATCCTGTCTCTTGCATGCATACACACACATATACATTCATGATTTAAATATTAATGTAAAAATATAAAATGCCCAATTCTACAGAAATAACCTTTGTTCCCACATCTGGGGCATATGATGAAGTGAGCTGTCGCTCACAAAAGCTTATGCCTTTTAATAAAATGTGTTAGTCAGAAAAGGTGCTATAGGACACCTTCTGATTTTTACCAGCAAAGAAAAGCATGGCCCTCCTCCTACCTTGTTCCTACAGTGAACACTATGATCTAGAGAGAGTTACATCACTATTTCATTTGCAGGACTGTACATTAACTCTCTACAAGTTCAAAAACTCCATCTGCCAATGAGTGTATACAGAATCCCCAGTACTGTTGTTACACACAAAACTGGTTCCTAACTTAATGGACATTTATTATGACTTTTATTAGGGCTCAATCAATGAAGTAAAAGAATCTTTCCTAACCAAATAAATTAGTTGGGCAGGATACACCAGCACATATTACCTTTCATGACCATAAGCATGCAGTGATTGAACTCAGACCTTTTATACTATACCTGAATCTGTGCTAGCGACAGAACATTAACAAGACTATGTTACTTTTCCTATGTCCCAAGCACCTAACCACTTTCTCTTTGCCTGCCATGGCACAATCTTTCGACTGCAGGAAACCAAGGCAGCTAATCCTCATCAGCTATGCAAGACCCCAGGGTAAAGCAAGAGAGTTTCAAGTTCAGTCCCCAGTATCTCTAATTCAAAATATCCTAACAAGGTGGAGCCATTTCTAGCCCCAGGAGTGGTAAATACGGATTTTAAATTTGATGTGTGTTGTTTTTAACCCCAGCTAAGTACTGGGGAGTCATATGCTGCTCAGCACTGGCTGACTGGAACGGGCTATAAGCCCTGTAAACAAACAAACAAGCAACAAGGCTACTAACTGATCGTTGACAGAGGGGAAAGAAATCATACAATACCAGAACCAAGAACTGGAGCCCAAAGTAGGAAGGCTTTCCAGTGTTCTCCAACAATTTGTGCCATTCCCTGTTTCCTATCCCTTATGGACAGAGTTAGAGGAAAAGGAAAGCAGACATTTCAAGCAATTCACTGAGGAGAAGAATCAGAGAACAAGATTCAGTGAGTCATGGCTGGACAGCCTGATAAAGTTTGAGTAGGAGGGCTATAAACATCTGCTCAAGATCAACAACAGGGAACAAGGCAGTGTCATACGTTCCACTTCATGCACCAGAAAGTGACCCCACTATATAGGATTCATTCAACCAAGACTTACGGAAGGGCAGGAGGAAAGCTGCCATAGTCCTACACAGGGATGAAACAGAGAATGTATGCATTGGCTTGCAGATGCCACCACTTGGGAACAAGCATACAAAGATAAAAAGTAGTATTAGGGTTCAATCTAAATACAAAGGAAAGGAGTCTATTCTACTGAGAGCACCTGTCCTTGGCTCTCCCTCCACTGTCATCTAACCATAGTTATTCCAAAAGGGCACCTGAACTCTTTCCACTCAGCTGCTTATCTGCACTGTGACTAAGAACTGCTCTCCCTCCAACATCTTTCTCTTGCTTTCTCTTTTGGCTGTATCTCATAGACTGTAACCCGCAGGGCAAAGACTGCCCTACATTTTTATTGAATTGTAAACTGCTCTGACACCCTTTCGGTTAAAGAGCACAGTACACGCTTCCAATTGAGGCCTTCTTTCTAATGTATCTGTAATGTTGCCAGGAGGAGGGCATAAATGATAACAAATGTATAACAACATAATTATGCAAATTCTGCAACTTACTTACTTCAATCAGATGCCCAGATGCAAGTTCATAATTGCAGTATTTGCATGATTAAGCCACTGATATTTGCTGCTTTCAAGTACCCATAATCTGCTTCAACTCCCCAAACAGGATGCTGAGAAGGAACACAAAACTGCCTCAATGGACTCTCTTTTGTCTGCTTTGCATATGCTGCATGCATTGTCCTCACTGGGAGGCAAAAGACAAGACTTAGCACTTACATCCTGCATGAATTTCCTGCAGACAGGCCGGATCTCCTTACTCAAGGTGGCACTAAACATCATGCACTGCTTTTCATGGGGTGTCAACCGAAAGATCTCCTGCACATCACGGCGCATGTCTAGAAGAAACAGATAAAAACAAGTTCCCAATAAAAGCAGATTTGAAATTCAGATTCACCAGCTTAATCACTACTGTCACCATTTGTCAGATTCAATATGTTTTACTCTAATATCTGAGAGAAAAGACACAAGAGAGTTCTAACAATTTCTGCAGAGAGCTTTCTCAACTCATGTTGCCTCTTCTGATTATAACTTGTAAAAAGAAGTGACTTTTTTCTTCATATCCTCCCATTCAAAATTATCAGCTGTAGTACAGGAATAATCAAAATGGTACTGCAGGTAATTCCCCTTCCACCTTCGTACAGGTGGCTCAACAAGCACTTGACATCTTTATTCTCCCAAATGCCACTGGGCCCCATGTAATTAGTCATAAGAATGTAGCTGAGGTCAATGCTCAGCTTTCGTGTGTTCCCAAAAGGAAAGAAGGAAAAGATCCTCCTGCTCTCTGCAAAAAGAAAACAAGAGGGAGACGAGCTGGATTAGGGCTGCAACAGAAAACCAAGGAGGCCTTCAGCTGACCAGTGGGAGAGTTTGGAGGAAGGAAGGCTGGAGCTGGGTTGCAGGTGATAAAGCAAGTGAGAAAAGGAGATAGAGAAGACTACAGAAAGTATGGAAAAGAGATGAAAAAGCAGTTCAGTGGAGGAAAGCACGGAAGGGATGTGGAAATAAGCGGCAGGAGGAAACTAGACAGAAAGGAGTGTTCTTGGGTGCTGGATGAAAGCATTCGGGGAGAATGATCCCAACCACAAGAGAGAACAGTTCGGATGAACAGAATGGTTTTGTAAGGCTTTGTATTATGATTTTTGGGCAAGCTATCGGTCAGCAGTATTAGCAAACATTTCTATGAATGTTTTGTCAGTAGGTGTGTCCACCACAATAGACATTTTGTGAATGGACATTCTCTTCCATGGTTGCTATATGGCCCACAAAGGTTTCCCTTCAGGTGTGTTTAAATGCTATACAAATCAGCTCAGATTTTGTCTCAGCATATGTGAGTTTCTCAACCTGGTATCTTTCGGATGCTTTGGATTACAGCTCTCTTCAAGAATTGTATTACAAATGCTAATGATTATGCTAGTCATGGTTAGCAATGTAATTCAATACTTGAAAGACATCTGATTGCAGATAGATGATTTATGATTTGTACTTGCCCACAAAGCAGTCTGTTCCTGGGTTGTATAAAAGCATTAAGCCATTGTTTGTCTGCTTGGACAAACTGGCAGATTGCACGCTGCAGATAAGGAGTTTCTGACAGCACAGCAAAAAGAGAGTTGCAAAGCTTGTAACAGTATTATGAAAAAAGTTTCCAGTTTTAAAAGTTTGGAACTCAAAACATCCCTTTTTCTGAGTTTGATGCACCTTACCCAAAGTGTTGGACACTGCTCCAACCATTCTGGAAGTATTCCAAGTTCAAAACATTCCAAACATAACATGTTTTGTATCCTTTTATCTTATGTCAAAGTGAGCAGTACTTTGCAGCTGTTTCTATTTCACTGCCTTGTCACCTTGTCATAAGGCCCTCTCTTTGGGTACAAAGAAATCAGGGCAAGAAATAGGTCTGCTCTTTGAGAAGTTTCTAAAATATATCAGAAGAGCCTGAGCTATTTAGAAATATTGCCAAGTCTCTTCTTTTTTCCCTTTTTTGCACTTTAATTCCATCCCAAATTAATTAAAGTGGCAGTTTTTATCTCAAGATAATGATCTGCATCCTTGCTGTACAAGTTAATAGCCACTCCTCATCTGCCTGGAAAGAGATGGTGAGTTACTGACATAACCCTTTAAAAGAACTTTACCACTAGCAGGGCGATGCACTCTTCCAAGATAATTTGGAAGAAATGGTTCAGACCTCATGCAAGCATTGCTTTGTAAAGTAGCTCACTTCTGTGAATACCTGAAAATAGCTGTTGTAAAAGTTGCATTACATTGATTCATTGAAGCAGCACCACTTTTTTTCAGGTTCTCTTGATGTCTAAAAAGGTCTGTTTATAGCATAGCAAGTAAGTGCTCTGCTCAAACAAAGTTCGAACCATGCAGACCAAAGCTCTAGCTCAGTGTCTTGATCTGTAATTTGGGCATCAGGCCATCTTCCTACAATGAGTCGAGAATTCTACATTCTAACATTTCCAGCTTTATTTGGACTTCTCCAACCTACCCCACCCCACCCCCACCCCCGCCCCGGTTCTCTTACCTAGCTGCTCAAGCATCTTGTCACACTCATCCAAAACAAAATGCTTCACATTACGCAAATTGAGTGTCTTGTTGCGCACCAATGCTAGAATACGGCCTGGGGTTCCCACAACAATATGCGGACAGTTTTTCTTAAGTACCTCTTCATCTTTCTTGATAGAAAGCCCCCCAAAGAAAACCGATACCTGCAGGAGAATCAGAAATCACTAAAATGACTTTGCAACACATTATTTATACAGTGCAGTAAATAAAATACAAACAGAGCCAGTTCGATGTGGTGGTTAAGGCATTAGGCTGGAAACCGGGAGGCCATGAGTTCTAGTCCCACCTAGGCACAAAGCCAGCTGGGTGACCTTGGGCCAGTCACTCT